GGCTGGGGATTCGAACCCGCCACCTTAGGTGTACGTGGCTGGCGCCCTAGCCGGTTGAGCTATAGGCGCCGAGCCTTGATGTGATCTTTTCCTGGGAAGCCCTGTGGCGGGCACAGGTTTCTGGGAGAGAGTGAGGGATGAGGAGTCAGTAGTAGTTTTGTTAGTAGATGATCTAGTCTAAGGCTCAGAACTTTAGAATCATCAGCATATACTCGTCATTTGAAGCCACAGACTGGGTCAGATCACCTAGAAGGAGTGTGTAGGGTGTCATGGAGAAGGGGCCAGAGAAGTGAAAGAAAATCCAGGGACTTGGTGATCTCAGGGAAGATTGGTTTAGGGAGAGAGTGCCCAGCCATGGCAGCTGCTGCTGAGGGGGCGAAGCAAGTGGCGACCAAGAACTGGACATTGGCTTCAGGAAGATGGAGGGTGTTTTTGTGACCTTGACCAAAGCTATGGTGATGTCATGATGGCAGGAGTCAGAGTGGTTGAGGGGAGAGGTAAGGGATCAGAGTTAAGGCAGGGGGCTATTTTGCGATCCTGAGGTGTGTATGTCTGCCAGTGAGAATGATCCAGTATGGGGGAAGAACTTGAGAAGGCTGGAGTGAAAGGGAATAATTGTTCCAGGAAATGTTGGTGAAGTCATGGGACAGGGGTCAAGGTAAAGGAGAAAGCTTAGCTTTTAGAGGTTCAGGGAGCCAGACATGATGGTGCCTGTAGGCCCGGCTACCCAGGAGGCTGAGGAGGGAGGGTCCCTTGGACACAGGAGTTTGAGGCCAGCCTGGGCCTATAGCAAGACCCTGTTTCTAAGAAAATAAGTAAATAAAAATAAGATGGAAAAAAAGAGGAGTGAGGAAGTGCCCTTTATTGTTCTGTAGTAAGGCAAAGGATGTGGATACAGAGGGGTGGTAGAATCAGTGGTGGGAACAGGAAGGGTTCTCTGTTTCTTCAGTTTCTCTCTGAAGTGTGCAGGTAGGTCACCCGTGGAGGGTACAGTTGCCAGTGGAGGGCCTGTGGGAGATTTGAGGTGAGCGGGGCAGAATGGTACTCATCTCAGAGTCGGGAAGTTTGCCAGCACAGTGTGGAGGGATTAAACTGCAGGCTTGAATGCCCGTTTGCTATTTTGGTCATAGGTTAGAAGTGTGTCCATTTGGCAGTCGCCTGACTTTTCTCTGGCCATGTTCTGCTCTTGGGCAAGGTTCAGAGTAAACAGACATTTGGGTTTACCAGGGTTAGGGTTTTGCAGGTGAATGAACAGGAAGAAAGCGGCAAGAGAGCCAAGGGAGGGGACAGAGAGCACAAATTGTAAGTGACAGCAGTGGGATGAAGGTGGGTGTGAGTCCCCTAGTCAGGGATGCAAGGGTTAGGCTAGGAGGCAGTGACCAGAGAGTGGAGCCCCCAGAGTGGGGTCGCAGAGTCAGTGCAGGCCGTGGTTGTGTGCCAGGGTCCAGGTGCTGCTGTGCTGTGAAGGGACTGCTTTATGTGCTTCAGAGCAACGAAAGAGAGTGCCTCCCCGAAACCGGCACAGAAACAAGCAGCGGCAGGCCACTTGTGTCTAAGTCTGTGTGTTTTATATTGTTTGCTGTTTTGTAGCCTGTTTTTTCCATAAACAGGGTAGTATTTCAGGCGCTGGTTCACAACAGTGGACCAAAGTTTCTTACTTCCTCTGAGGAAAGCAGACAGCATGTGAACAAGTGTGTGTCAGAGGGGGAGTGCAGAGCAGAGGGTGAGGAGAAGGGTGTGTTTGGGACTGGAGCAAGTCACAGTTACCAGAAGTGGCTGCCTCACTGGTCATGTCATTTGGGCAAGTGAGCCAGGTGGCTGTCTGGGAAAGATTAATTTAGGCTGAGAGAAGAATGTATATCAGAACTTGAAAGCCTCATTCTTTTTAATGTATTCCATTGGTTGGTATACCGAAATTTGTTGAATCAATCCTCTCTTGGTGGCTATTTAGCTTCTTCCAATCTTTTAATAGTATGAACAGTGTTTCAGTGATACATGCTATTTTAATACTTGGATTTCATTTTATACCTCTTGTATTTATTAAAGTACTGAATTTATCCTTCATTGATGTGCATTAGGTGATTTTCACCTTTTACAAATAACATACCTTTTGTCTGTATTTGACTGTTTGCTTAGGATAAATTCCTGGAAGTAGCATCATTGTATCTAAGAATATTGCACATTCACTCCTACTTTTTGCTGAATTATTTACATTGTAGATCGGTTGCTCAGTTTTCATATCTACCAGTAATATATAATAAGTGCCAGTGTTCTTACACTCTTGCCAAGGCTGGGTTTTACTGTTTCTTAAAATTTTCCTGATTTGATAGGCAGAAATTGGCTCAAGGTGCCAGCCACATACACCTAAGGTGGCAGGTTCAAATCCAGCCTGGGCCCGCCAAAAAACAATGACGGCTGC